GGACTTGATAAATGGACAGACGGTCAAAGTCCTGTTGTGGAGGCCTGATTACTGCTGTACTGGAGTCAAACTTCACGTCGGCCTTGAAAAGACTTCTTCTAAGGACTTGGAAATGATGTGCACCTATTTATATCTGGATCAAAGGCATCAATCTCTGAAAGAAACAGCCAGGATTTATCAAGAGCGGGTCTTACATAACGGGCAAGAAAAAAACAAAAGAAAGCGAGGCCTAAGCACTGCTTGTTTTTCGATGGTTTCCAGACAAACTCCATGCAGACGAGGATGAAAACCACATGGAGGGAAACTGACAGGGAACAGTTGGGAACGTATATGTGAGCTGTGCATCCAGAAGAAAAAAGAAAGAAGAAGAAAAAAAAAACAAAAAAAAAACATGGAGTCAAGCTCAAATCAGGCCCGGAGAGAAAAGTGCTGTAATAGGAGGGTTGGCAGGGACCACTGAGATAGAGCTGGTAATGAGAGAGAGAGAGAGAGAGAGAGAGCAGACTTCCCACCTCCTCCTCCGCCCCCCCCCAGCCCTCTCACTGCTCAACCGCACAGGAAACAAAAATAGCATTTTGTCTGACGAATGTGCCAGCTTTGACCTAGCCTTTCGACCTCTGACAATCAGTCTCGCGCCGTCCTCCACTTCTCCACGGAGCGACGCCGGGACAGGCGAAAGATAACAGTTGATTTCTTCTGCGGCGCTGCAGCAACAACAAGAGAGAAAAGGCTCCAGAGGTGGCACGGCAGACGGTTTGTCACCGAGTGTGAGGTTGGAGGCCGCGGACGTTTCATCAGGGACGAGAAGATGAACTGACGAATGGATGCAGCTTCAGATTAGACTGACTGGACATTGGCAGCGGTGAGAGACGACGGACGGGATGTTTCAATTACACATTGACTTCACTACTGAAAACCTCATTAACATTGATTAATCTTGGATCCAACTAATGTGTTAAAATCAACAAATCCATTCACTGGACTGAAAAGAAACAAATTTCCCGGGACAATTTGATTTGATTTGATTCAAAGTGAGATCATAAAAATCTGCATAAATGTCAAAGACAAACAACACTAAAAAAAAAACAAAGTCTATTGATCACTGGAATTAACAATTAAAAAAATAATAATAGTTGATCAAAAAATGGTGTCAATGCCAGTTCAGTACTGAAGTCAGTTGCTTCCTCCCTGTACAGCCCCAAATGCTCTGACCAATCAGAAGAGCTCGTCCCTCGATGATTGATTTTTGTGGTGCATTCATTATGGAAAATAGTGACGAGAACTTTATTTTCCTGTAAAAAAAAAAAAAAGGATCACGGTCCCCTAAAAGTTCCAGACCTGGGGTCAGTTCTCCTCCTCCGCTGCGGTGAACATGAGGCAAACAACAAAGAAGACTCCAGGAGGTTTAATGAGCAGAGGAGGATGGCGCCGCCCTTTTGGCCTCTCTCCATCATAAGCGAAGCTACGACTCTCTCTCTCTCTCTCTCTCGTCCTGGGTTGGGGGGGGGTTCTACGGGAGGAAGGAACGCAAACAATTAGCCGAGACGAGCTGTTTGGATTATGTGCTCAACCGGACCAATCAGACGGCTGCGCTAAAAAGAACCAAATGCCAGTCGTCCAGAGGGTCAGCGGTCGTGACGGCCTTAACAAGATGACAGCGTTTATAAAGCACTGCTGTTAAAGAGCACCGTTACCTGCGGTGTAGCCCTGATAATAAGGCCACATGGGGCTGCTTCCATATTCCCTCTGTATTTGTTTTCTCCGGCCTCGTGTTCTTTTGTTGTTCTCCTCGCTCCTCGCCGCCCGGCCCACGGCGCCGGAGGAAACCCTTCCAGTCGTCTTTGATCTTCTTCCTGTTTGGGATAATTTTCTGACTAGAAATCTCATTGTTGCTCTGCTCCTTTTTTTTTTTTTTTTTTCACCTTTGGGCTCCATCTTTTAAAATGGGGGGCGCCGACGTTTTGTCTGGTTCTGTCGCCACAACTCCCCCCAACATTTGAAGTGAGGATTGGACTCTGGCCGTCTGCACAGCTGATATATTATTCATGATGGGGGGGTGAAGGGTGAAGGGGGGGGAGGAGGGGGGGGAGGGGGAGGAGGAGGAGAGAGGTGTCAATGTGTCAGGAGGTGGAAGAAATGTAAAAGTCTGCTGTTTACTGGTCGAGGAGGAGGAGGAGGATGAAGAGGAGGAGGAGGAGGAGGAGACCAGGGTCTGATCTTCATCAAATGTTCATCTGTTCTGGACATGAAGTGACCCGACCAATCACTGACTTGTCTCCACCGATGTTTTATCCATATTTTATGAGACAACCGTTCTTCAATTATTCAGCTGCAATTATTCTGTACACACACACACACACACACACACACACACACACACACCTGCTGGGCTGCGTTACTGATAAATGTTGGTCATTTGAAGTTTTTGACGATGGAATCGTTTGATAAAAAAATGAAAATACAGTTGATTATATTTTAGAAAAGTCACATTTACTGAATGGGTTTCAGTTCATACAGATTTACTACTTTTTTTTTTTTTCATTCAATAGTAGTTTTTTAGGTCATGGTATAGAAACACGACGTTGACCGAGTGTTTCTTGGACCTTGGCCTGAAATTCTAATAATAAACCGTTGAAAAAACAACATCATTTCAAAGCGTATAGACGCTCAATGTCTCTCAAAGTCACAGGATATTTACTTCAAAGTTCATATTCACCTGCGGCTGCAGGAGCTTCAGTTTCAAACATCGTTCTTTTCTACATTTCAGAGCATTAACATGTTTGAACGGAACCCCATGAACTCTTCTTTCATTCTCGTGAGGTTTTATTTTCAACCGTTAAAACCAAAGATTCTGACATTCTCCCAGTCGCGACCGAGACTTTTGGCTCCGCGGAGAGCAATTATGTCAGTCTGTCTGTCTGGGAGCGACGTCTTCCAACTGGTGAAGTTAAATTCACAGACTCCCGACACTCAGCCGTCTGAGACACCCAGGAGGACGTTGTTTTGTCTCCACACAATTCACGTCCAGCTCTCAGTGTTTACCTGTGAAACCGACACCTGCGCGCGTGTTTGACTATGTGTTGATCAGAGCTGTCATAATGAGCGCCTCCTGTTGGTAGAGTTCAGGTCTCGTGCTAACACCACTCTCCTTCCATCAACAGCTACCTCGTCGCTCAACTCCCAGCTCCAGCACCTGCAGCAGCTCCAACAGATGCAGCAGCATCACCAGCAGCAGCAGCAGCAGCAGCAGCATCATCACCAACAGACCCACGTCCACGCCCAGCACCACATGACCCCGCCAGGCCAGCAGCAGACCTCCGTTCCGTCCCCGGGCTCCGCCTGCTCCTCCGCCTCTGGGCAGCCGCAGCTTTCTCCACCGCACCGACCGAACCAGTCGCCAGCCCGCAGCCTCCCCTCCCCCGTCACCCCGCCCATGCCTTTGCCGGTAAGATTCTGAAACCCTCAACAACTGACTGATTCATTTCACCTTCATCCTTCCATGGTTGAAGTCCAACACGTTGTTTAGGTTCGATTAGCTTAGCTATGCTAACTGATACTCGCTAGGTTTAAAAAAAAAAGCTTGTCTTTCCATCTCGGCTCTGTTGCTGTGGTTACCAGGTACATTTTATTCTTTCAACTGCTACAACATGTCACGTCACGTCACTTAGCATTAGCCGCATAGCGCCACTTACCGTGACCATGAAAGGGTCGTAGATTCACGGCGCTGTAAGTAAACAGTTACACAGGTTTACATAAGTAGACCGCGGTCGGTTTACGGTGAGTTCAAAGGCAAAACAGAGAGGAGGAAAAATCAATACCTCCGTTGTATATTCTTTTTTTAAAAATGCCGTGCTGTCAGGCTGAACGCAGTATTTCCTTCTGTTGCATGAACTCAACACCGTACAGTCTGGGTGTCATGGAGCTGTTTGGTTCACGCCGTCTGATAAAATATTAACCACTCAAAATATTAAGAAACGCTGCAACAGTATATTTAGCATGGTGTGTTCCTCTGCGGCGATGCTAACGTATGCTAGCTCCTGTAGGTGGCGGTGATGCTGCTAAAACAAAACTGAGAAAATCCAAGAAGAAGCAGGAAGTGATTGGAGGAGGGCGGGATCAGTTGGGTTTTTTTTTTTCCTATGTTGTTGAAGGTGTACAGCACCAGAAGTCCCATGGTGCTCAGCAGTACCTGTCCTGCTGTAATTAGCCACCGGCTAAGGCTGTATCAGTGGACAGTAGCTAGTAGCTTCTTGCCAGAGCGACTGTGAAAAAAAATTCAGGATTCGATTTTATACGAGCGCTCGTGTCGTACTGATCAAGCTGCAGCCTAGCGCCCCCGGAGGGAAAAAAAGGGATAGCTCTTTGGTTACAATTACTCACACAATATTCTAGCATATAATTCTAGTGACAGTGTCTAGTAGAGCAGAGTGTGGAGTGTCTGTAATCATTCCAGTCAGAGATAAAACCTTTTTTTTTTTTTTTTTCTTTATATAATTTTTCCAGGACCTTGAATGAAGTCGATGAAAAGAACACATTAGTGAACCACCAGTGTTCAACTAAAGAGCACAGATTAACCACTGAAACAACCACGCTCCACTCCAGGAAGTGGAGTGTGCGTGCGAACGCTGTCATTGACTGGTATTTGATTTTTGGCAGGTCAACCTTCAGCAAACGCTGCGCTTGATTTTCCTGACAGTTCTTGATCTTTATCAAGTAGCTGCACATGAACGGATGGAGCTCGACTGAAGAGCCGCGCGGCCCAATAGAATCTGCATCTTGTTGTTGAAGCCTCGACTCACTGAAGGCTCCGTCCCCCTGCAGGTCTAACGGGGTCTGCGGGGGTGGTTTATCCTGGGGCCGTGCTGCCATAATCAGCTCTTTAATCTTCGCTGCTCTTCCTACTCGGCCTCCTTTTTGGTCACTCCGTCTGTCCATCCATCTCTGCCCTTCTGTCCTTCTGGCTGTCACCGTGTGACGATAATAACCTATTTTATATCCCTGTGGTTTCATTTCTGGTCCAGTCTGGCCCGGGTCGCCTTTCCGTCCCTGGCCACATTCATCAGCGTCAGACCCTTATTGGGTTGTGGTGCAACCTTCTTTATGGCCAGGATGAGTTGGGCTATTTGTTTCCCCCTCTTGCAGCTCTCTGCGGCCCTGTCACGGCCTGCTGAGACTCAGAAGAACAGTCTCTGGATTTAATGGGCTCCAAAGGCTGGCCGCTACGATGAGCCGCCGCGCGGTGTCCGCTCGGACCGTGGAGGCACGGCTTACTGACCAACATACAGATTCACACGTCAAAGATTACATTTGCCGGCAGAGGGAGATTTAAGGCGACGGTCAAGACTTAGGAGGAAGTCGGAGACACAGAGACTGTCAAGTAGGACAGAAAATAACAGTTATTTAACAGGAACTGAACTCTGAGAATAGCTGAGAGTGTAATGTTCAAATTGTAAAGAAAAAAAACCAAAATAATTAAAAACAACAATTTACTTTAATCTCTGGAAAACAGATTAAATCAGAAATAAAATTACATTTTTTAAGATACAATTGAAAAAATACATAATACAGTATAAAAATAAAAGAAGAAAGGTTATGTTGATGTTAGCATAGAGGCTAATCTGTCCAAGACAAGCATGACGCTATCTGAATAGTAGCATGCTAGTTTATCTTTTTTTTTTTAAAAAACAACCAATTTATAGTTGTTTTTTTTTTAAATTACAGAACAGAAACTGACACTTTACTGAGGAAACATTTCGTGTTCCGGTAAAGTGTAGCATCAAGCTAACAGCAGCAGGCTAGCAGAAAAGATCTACAGGTCGTGAAAGGTTTCCAATTTCAAATTTAATTTCTTCAAACTTGATTTTTAAAAAATAGATCATTAACTTTTTAAACATTTAAAAGGAGGTTCCATCTGTTTATGTTGACAGGACACACCTCATCCAACAGGTGGCAGCAAAGAGGGCCACCTTAGGTATCATTAAGATATTGCCTCATCAAATAGGATTATGAAAGTGTCTTGGTACGATATCCAGTCAGAATCTCTGTAAAAGGTTTTAGTTTCTCCAGGTCGGTGCTGGGTTTTTTTACTGCGTCACCCAGTGGAGACCATCCCCAAGGACAGGTCATGACCTCACCAACCACTCTAAGCTACAATGGGATTTGCGACTACAGCTGCCTGGAACCGTGATTGGATTTTCACTGCCGTGGTCCCTGAACGCCTCATTGGTTAATTCACACAGGCTTTAATGTTGAGTAAAAAAAAGGGGCTTCGAGCCGAGGGTGGACTGAATCTGGGTTTGTTTTTTACTCCTGCCCACCATTCAGGTCAGGGTCAGTCAAAAAGATCCCAGACAGATGTTATCAAAGGTTCCAAGGGACAAATTATTTTATTTATTCGTTCGTCTTGGAACTTTTTGACTGACCCTGCTCGTGATTGGTCCACTGGCACTTCAGAGACAAATGACTTGTAAATGTCCTGTGATAATGAGGAGCTCAGTCGTTAACACGTGTCCACTCTCATTTTAACCAGGTTATAATTAAAGGGACATTCCGTCTCTCTCTCTCTCTCTCTCTCTGTGTGTCATAAAGTCCAGTCATAATCACAGCTCAGTGTCTCGTCCTCATGTCACCTGGACACCTGGACCCACTCAGCCGCTCAGTCCACCATTATCCTCCAATTAACCTGTGGTCGTGTTCCCCCCGGGATTTGACCTGCGCTCCTTTTTGTAATTTGTGAATTAAAATTAATGAATGATCCAATCAGAGCAGAGATCAAAGCCGTGTTGTGAAGTTGAATGAAAGTGCAGTTAATTTGGTTGAATTAGCCGTCGCCGCTCTGCTCCTCAGTACCAGGAACACGCTCACAGCGCCCCCTAACCCCCCCCCCCCAACCGTCTACCCTCCCTCGCCACGGTGGTGACAAATAGACGGGCGGAGGAGATTATGAAATTTGCTTAAGTGTGTTAATGGGCTGATTGCGAGAGCCGGCAGTATTTTTTTTTTTTTTTCAAGCTGGAAGTTGATTGATTAGAGCTGCAGGTTTTCTCCACGCCCCGAGAGCTCGGGGATTTGACGTGGGCAAAAGGCGCTCGCCAAGTCTGTTACACCGGAATTGATCTTAATTAGATCTGAAAGACCTGCCACAGCAGAATGGTTGCAGCGATTAAAATGAAAAACAGGAGAAATTACTGATCAAATTAATCATAATGTCGGGCTACAGCTGTAGCTCTGCTGTAATTTGCCACTCCACTGAGTTACATCAGCCCAGGCAGGAGAGGAGAGGAGAGGCTTAGGCCAGCCTATCAACTCCCTCACTCTGCTGTGTGTGTGCCCAGACCCTGCTGACCCTGCTGCGCCATCCAGTGGCGCGCCTTCATCCCTCCTCCTCCTCCTCCTCCTCCTCGTCTGTTTCTCTGTAGCTCTGATCTAATTATTTACTTTTTATCACTGAGTTTTTTTTTTCCCTCCACATCTCCATCCAGGAATCACATCTTCTCTTATCACCACTGTCATGTCACCAGCGTGTGGTGTTTTCACTAACAGCCCCTGACCTTGGTCCACCGTCCTGCCCCCCCTCCCCCGCTCTGTCAGACCCCTGCCGCCCGTCCTTACGTCTGTCCCCACTTCCCCTTCTCACAGTTGTCTCCTTGATCGCTGTCGGAGCCCCACGCTGGGCCCCGTCCTCTCTCCAGCCGCACACTCATAGGGGTAATTACAGCCTGGGGGCGCTGCCTCCTCCTCCTCCTCCTCCTCAATCCCTCTGCTCCACAATTTACCACCAAAGCGTCCACAGACATCTCTCTTCTTTCCCCGGCTGCACCCCGACATCACAGGACCGCAGGGCCTCAGACCCACAAGTGCTGCAATTACCTGAGCCTCTCCTGCATCACCCCACCTCCCCCCCCTTCTCTCCCTCTCTCTCTCTCTCTCTCTCCCTCTCACCCTCTCTCCCTGGCAATCAGCCTTCATTAGGAGGCTGTGGTGAAAGCCCATCGTCACCAAGGTCAGCAGCTGCCAACCAGCGCCACCTTTCAGTCTGCACTCACCGTCACTTCTCACCTCCTTCGCCGCTCGCCCCCCTGCCCCTCCCCCCCCCCCCTGTTCTCCTCTGCACAATCTTCCTCCAGCCTCTTGCCCCATCTCTGCTGCTGCTCTTGTCTCCAGCTGAGCCCCCCCTGCCCCCCCGCCCCCCCACCCTCCTCAACCTACTGTTTTCCACTGCACTGCACTTTTTACTCATGTTAAAATCACCGGCCGTCCAATTTGCTCCTAATGTCTCTCTCTCTCTCTCTCTCTCGTTGATTTTCCAGATCGGTTCTGCGTCCGTTCAGTTTAGTGAAACATTAAATCAAAATTAAAATAACTGAAGCTCAAACCGTGGCTGCAGCAGCAGCAGCAGCAGCAGCAGCAGCTCACACTGTGGCTACGACAGAGGGTTACCTCTTT